GCAACCATGAGCTTTACAGACTCGACCACGCCGAACCCTTTTCGATTGAGTAAAATTTCCGTCTCCAGTTAATGTTTCAGTTTGATTTTAACTTCCCATTTCAATTTCCTGATCTAGCGCAGGTTAAATTTATTGCACCAAATAAAAATTCAGTTTCGTTTAAATTTCAAGTAATGGTTCAATTTCCTGATATGATTTGCTGGTATGGATATATACCATAGATGAAAAAAATATATTTATCATGTTTCAGGGTGTTTAATAAATCCATATGTTAATAATGTCTAAACTATAGACAAAATTAATAAAACTTTACCACTAGCAGTTATGGTTGCTATCATCATCATTTACCGTTCGTGCCCTAGACACACGGGGAAGAAGAAGCAGAGTTCGTCTGCTTCAGAGTCCTCGGTATATGAAGGGATAGTGTGGTCAGCACTATTTACAGCCGCCTTTATTTCCCTAACGTAAGTTAGGTACCCAACTGAATAGGCTGGACTTTAAATCATCTAGCTCTCTACCGCTAGGCCACACCGTCACATTATGGTTGCTCTGCTTCCATGGTTGGTATGGAAACCACAAAAAAAATGTAAAAATTCACATTTTTAAAATCTCTATAACTTTGCTCAAATAAGAGATAAACAAAATCTAATTAAAGATTTATGTTTTTCAGTTTTATCCATGTATTTCCATGTATTTGTTTAGTTTGTTACCTAGGATGCCTTTTTACTTTCTCGTATACAGGAGTGTGATGACGCAAGGTTGCGTCGAGCTCAGGTAGATAGCAGAAGCAGGCTATAGCAAGTTGGTCAGACTAGTCAGAGAGAGAGACCAATAAAAATACGTGAACTGACATGTCACGTGGGACGGTCAGCTGACCTCTGAAGCGTGGGCCACTGTTAGGCAGGAGATCATGATTAGTTAGTGTGGGCAGTGGATAGATAGATAGCGAAGAGTAGAGAAGGTGTTAGGAAGCGGTTAGAGACGGTTGTAATTTGCAGAGCTACGGAACAGTTAGTTAGTGTTAGGATTGGTCATGGGAGTGCGTAGTTAGTAGTATAGTGAACAGTTAGTAGTAGTAGTAGTAAACAGTAGATATTATTTAACAGGCTAGTTAGGTAGAAACTTGATTTATAATTTTAATAAAGAACTTTGTATTTGAAACTTGAACTGTGTGTTATTGGATTCATTCGTTCCGCATCTTAAAAATCCCCACCCTCACAAGGAGGAAGTTTTGTAATCGTGCACAAAAATCACATGAAATTTTGACAGTTTTCATCGTTTTACACCTCAGTCCTTCATCACATTCTGAGTACAGATGACTTATTTTAATCGGACAAAAATTATAAATCTAGATATATAAAAATTTTGGCGTTTCATGCGTAATCCAGTCGGAAAAACTTGACTTTGCAATTATGTCCGTATGTCTCTGTGTGTATATATTTAGGTAAACACGACAACTTGAGTATCATTACAGCTATTTTGATGAAATTTCATATATAAGTATAACATCACATTTGTAGATCCGTATTAACTTTTCAGCGATTTCCGGTAAAGGGAACTGGAACTTATTCTCTTTTTAATTTTTCAAAGCCAATAATTTGAGTACTATTTTAGAAAGATGAACGAAATTTCACAAATAAGTTAAAGATCGACATTTCTGCCTTCTTTCAAATTGTGGGTCATTTCCGTTGACCGGAAGTAGTAATTAATTTCGGATTTCTCAAAATAACATGTGAATTTATAAAGTACTAATAATATTCCACACAATTATACACAGAATGCGTGGCGTTCAACTGTTGTGCAGTTCTTTTTTCTAAGTAATTAAAAATGGATTAAAATTGTGTCTATATCCCGAGTAGCCATCCCACGTAGAGGAAAATTCGAGAAAGTTTAGGGGAGATTACTCCCGGTTTATTTAAAAAAGATTTTAAAATTTAAAAAAATTTGAAAAAATAACATGGTGGTGCTACATTATCATTAATAATATCCTGAAATGTTGAAATAAACTTAATGTTCAAATGCAGAAATGTAGATGATATAAAGCTTTATGCATGTGGAAAGTTTCTATTCTTTATGACAAAGGGTTCAAATGCTTTAGTTCTGTTTGATAGCCGGTCTTCTCACTATATTGTCTATCCCTACTTCAATTGTAACTTACACGAGTTTATTGCCTCTTCATAATACCCTACTACACATTCCTGTGTACAGCACTTGGGTCTAGAAACGTCCCCTCCACCCGACTCCTCCCCACCACTGTAAATAGCGTGAAGATCCGATTAGCCATAGATTACCAATGTTCATTCAACCGTGAATAACACACCCGTGTTGATAGCGTCAAGCACTATGTTTCCGAACAGGGCCTAAGTGAATGCGTATTAGATACCCCATGCCCATATATGGAGTTTGACTTAAAAATTTACTTTGTAGCAAACAATGTTTGTCGCACTTATTTTTAGAACATAGGAAAATGTCATTACTCCAGCGTGTACGCGAGTGATTGATGTAAAGTTTAGTGTGCCTCGCGGGAGCTAAAAATGATGAAAGGCTATTTGTCTGGAGCCTACAAGACTGAAGCCGTTTTGCCTAAATGATCAACGCTCGCCTGAACAGATGGGCTTGACAATATTCGTGAGATATGTGTGGCGTGACTTAGGGTTCAACGTTATGGAAATATCACGTTACCAATATCTCTATCTCTCTCTGGCGCCCTATATTTAAAATGTTCTTTATTGCCATCTATCTATCTATCTATCTATATACTACTAAAACTCAAGTTTGTTTACATGAATATTTATTTGTCTGATTTACTATTCTATATGGTTCTACTCTATCTGGAGAGCTGTAGGTAGAGAATAATTTTTTATTGCAGACAGACTGTTAATCACACATTTATTTAAAGAAGTTAATTAATTTATTGATTTATTCATAGATAGATTAACCACATTTGTTTTAAAGTTTTAGAACAATGACTTAACTTTGGCTGAATAGTGATGTTTGATAACTCATTTTTTTTGTTTGTTTGTTTTCTGATTTGTTATTGGGGAGAATCTTTATTATGTGTAGAGCTGTAAAATGGTATTTGGGGTGGTAAATATTGTTTCTTCTTAAAAACACTGTTAATTACAATTTAATTTAAAGCCGTTAATTAATTTATTAATATATTCATGGGTAAATTAACCACATTATTATAAAAGTTTAAAACAATGACTTTAGTAATAGTAAAAAGGTTAATTTTTTTTTGTACAACAATGTTTTCAATTATTTTTCCTAAGGCCTACATGTGAATGATAAGGTTGACTATCAGGACCTCGCGGGGCACAGGGCAGGTGAAGTAGAGTTCACCTGTTTGTTTGTCCTAAACATATGAAGGGATAGTGTGGTCAGAGACATGCTCGGCTGGAATCGTTTTTTAATCGATAAAAACATGTTGTCTGAGACTTGACGCGACACTGGGCAGGTGAAGTAGAGTTGAGTAGGTCACCTGTGACGTCTGTATATGAAGGGATAGTTGGAAATCGGTATTTTCGGTGTTTTTAAAAGATAAAAAACATATTTTTGAATGTGGGGGTCTGTTTTTTGTGACGATAAGTGACACTGCAGTGGCGGGGGGGGGGGGGACATATGTACCCAGGCGCCGACCTTAGGGGGCGCCAAAATGGGTAGGAAAAATAAATTGAAAGGTTGAGGGGGTGCAATTGAAAGTTTGAGGTGGGGGGGGGGGGTGCAAATCGAAAGCTCTCCGGGGGGGGGGGGGGGGGTTCAAATCGGAAAGTTTGTCCCCGGGCGCCGGGAAGGGTCGCTACGCCTCTGAGTGACAGACGTGATGCTTTTTGATGGATGACCCCCGAAACCCACAGTTATCCAACGGATGACGGGTAGTCTAGTAAAGAACCTATTTAGCTTCGCTATGTATCTTTTGGGTCTACAGTTGTATTGTTGCTTAGTTGGACAGTACCAGGCGAAACTAGTTGCTGCTAGACACATATAACTGTTGCATTTGCAGTTCAGTTTCTGCAGTTTTTTTTGTTTTTTTTCTGTTTCTGTTTCTGTTTCTGTTTCTGGTTACTGTTACTGTTACTGTTACTGTTACTGTTACTGTTACTGTTACTGTTACTGTTACTGTTACTGTTACTGTTACTGTTACTGTTACTGTTACTGTTACTGTTACTGTTACTGTTACTGTTACTGTTACTGTTACTGTTACTGTTACTGTTACTGTTACTGTTACTGTTACTGTTACTGTTACTGTTACTGTTACTGTTACTGTTACTGTTACTGTTACTGTTACTGTTACTGTTACTGTTACTGTTACTGTTACTGTTACTGTTACTGTTACTGTTACTGTTACTGTTACTGTTACTGTTACTGTTACTGTTACTGTTACTGTTACTGTTACTGTTACTGTTACTGTTACTGTTACTGTTACTGTTACTGTTACTGTTACTGTTACTGTTACTGTTACTGTTACTGTTACTGTTACTGTTACTGTTACTGTTACTGTTACTGTTACTGTTACTGTTACTGTTACTGTTACTGTTACTGTTACTGTTACTGTTACTGTTACTGTTACTGTTACTGTTACTGTTACTGTTACTGTTACTGTTACTGTTACTGTTACTGTTACTGTTACTGTTACTGTTACTGTTACTGTTACTGTTACTGTTACTGTTACTGTTACTGTTACTGTTACTGTTACTGTTACTGTTACTGTTACTGTTACTGTTACTGTTACTGTTACTGTTACTGTTACTGTTACTGTTACTGTTACTGTTACTGTTACTGTTACTGTTACTGTTACTGTTACTGTTACTGTTACTGTTACTGTTACTGTTACTGTTACTGTTACAAACCCAATATTTAGGCACGAGTCTGCTATTTAAAGCTAAATACAAAAGCATACATTATCTTTGAACGTCACACACATATAGGCTATATTCTTTTTACATATTTATGTTGCTTATACATATTGAATTTAACATACAAAATGATAATAATAGAAATGTATGTATTCAAAATTTATTGCATATATAAATAGACATGGTTTTAATTATGTTAATTATTTTTTGCTCATGAGATTAGAATTGATTGACAAAGATTTTGTTTTTGTTAAGAAATTACAGCATTATACATAAGTTGTACCTGTGTGTTCATCAACAATACCGTTTCATGCTATAAGCTTTTTCTTTAGCTAGCTCATAAGTTCACTAGGTGTTGAGTCATTTTCACTAGTACAATAGTGTTATTCTCTTCATTTTAAATATAATCATTACAACTCTTAAATAATTATTACAAGTTTTGCGCTTAAAACAATGGACGGAATGTTTCTATAATCGTTTTGCTAAAATACAGAAATGTTATGTGTCAAGTCTTGCCAAGATTTTAATGACAAAAAGTAGGGTTTTTTTTGTTGTTTTTTTTTTCCTTTAAAAAAATAAAGTAGAATGCGTATAAGTATCAAATACGTATAAAATAAATCTTAATGTTTATATTTTATTTTTGCTTAGACAAAGTGTGAATCAAAAGGTGTAAAATGAACCAATATGATTTGTTTTGTTTGTGTCACTACTTAATTAATTAGCAATAAATATTACAATAATAAGAAAATATAAAATAAGAAAAATATCGGGTGAAAACATTCACCCCTCAATGAATCTGAAGATGACAGCCAGGAAGCAAATCAGCATAGTGGAGACACCGAGGATGCTGGCGCCATCTGAAAAATATATAGTGTACAATTTTATTGGATGAGTAAATGCTCAACAAAAACAGAGAACAAGTGTTAATTCTTCTATATAAACGTTATATATTACTTCAATAACTACTTTGGTAGGTTTTCTTAAAATAAATTAGTGTTTAGAACTAGTTATAACAAAGGTTACTGAGTTATTCTTTTTTAAATGATTATGATACTTAGTTAATATGTTTTGACTTACTGCAAATCTCTTTCATAGCGTTAACTTTGTTAGTAAGGTCTGTACTAGCTGTGCAATTTGTATTGACACAATTCTCAAGCTTTTTGAAATATCTGTTTAAAAAAATTAAATTATCGACGGATAACCAAATTCTTTCAATAAAGCTTATTCTGGCTTAACATCTCTCCGGAAGGAACAAAAATTAAGTCCGTTATCACAGATTTACGAAATAAAGTATAGATAAAACGTCTTCTTTTTATTTGAACTGGGGGTAGGCTCGGATAATAAAAAACATTTTCAATACTAGAGAGCAATTTTTTTCTCTACAGCATTTTAAGGTACATCTGCATATGTGGTTCAATTTTTTTTAAATATTGGTGGGAAAATCTTGGTAATTATGACAATGGCGGCCATCTTGAAAATATAACCTATTCGTAGTAATTCCACTATTCATAAAGTTCGTTATTTTTAGCCAAATTGACGATCTTCTACAATATTTTGAGGTGCTAAGTTAAAATTAAGTAAAAAAGTAATTTATTATGAATTTTCAAATTTTGGGTCCGGTAAAAACGCTAAGCTTTGAGTAATTTTGTGTTTTTAACGGACCCACAATTATATTATATGTCAGATTAGGATCAAGATACTCAAAACTGTCACTAGTAATTTGCTATGCCCCAACACTTCTTCCACTCACTAGTAACATATTTTGAAGGATTTTTCTAGATGGAATCTCGAACGCTGCAAATGAAAGTAACATGCTGGGCTTAGGAAAAGCAAAAAAAAATCATCAATTGACCACTTAAACATATATACCTTTCGACAAAAACTAGAGCAAAACAATTAATGGAAGATCCCCCTCCATGCATTATTCATTTATTTTGGAAAGGCTTTTTATAGCCTAGCCTGAAACAACTTCTGGAAAACACAAGTAGAGGAAGTAAAAGATTTCACATATTTTGCAATGGCGATTATGGAGGAGACTGCACCGCTAAAAAGGCATCTCTAAATTCGAGCAAGTCTTTTCAGTTTGCTACCATTCAAAAACATGGTGACCTAGTAATATCTCCCCTAAATGCAGACAATTTAACAGCATGTCCTTAGCGTACTACTGCATGACAGCGAATGCTGAAAAGTAACAACAGCCACCAGCAGAACACTAGACTTCTTCCAACTAAGTTCCTGCGAAGGATAAAAGGCCTACGCTGGCCCAACACAGTGTCAAATGATAAAATACTAGAAGATACAGAAATGGAAACTGTTTCCAAAATAATCGAAAAAAGAATTATTACGTTGGATGGGGCACATTTTAAGAATAAATCCTGCTGTGCTAAAAGCAAACAGTGTAACAGAAAACATCGAAGGCCAAGGGAAATATAAAGACCCACGGTGGGAAAGCAGTTGGCAGTGGCTAATCTGTCTTGGGGTACTGCCACGAAAATAGTCGAAAACCGACCCAGTGCAATAAGCTATCCACGGCGACCCCATGTGTCTTTGGCACAAAAGGAAAAGGTGATAATATATAACACTTCAACTTAATAAAACAACACGTTCAGTGTTAACAATATTGTAGTGTGTCTTTGCTTAGAAGAATTTTTTTTTCAAAAACCATTTAGTAAAAAGCATCGGATATATTTCAACACTTAATGCACTAAGGATTAAAAATAATTACAAAATAACATTAATGCTTTCCCTAGATAGTTTATACTTACGAACATTTCTTGTCTTTGCTCTCTGCATTTGTAATATCATCTACAAGAAATTTACAGTTGAAGCCTGTTCCATTTTTCGAGTTGCAACTGTCGGGTATATCACTAATTGCTGCATTGATTGCCAAAATTGGATCTGTTCATATATAATGCAATTAATAGTGGTGCTCTCGCTAAATATATACATTGAAATGCGCAGTGCTTCGTAAAAGTAAAAAACAAATCTATTGTAAGTTACTTTCGGACCTGTCAGTAAACAGGGCAATTGAAGTAGAGAATCTGTTTCTATGACCATGCAACAATAGTTCTGACCTTTATTTCCCTAAAGTATGGCAGATATCCATCAGAACTGGGTGGACTAGGGGATGTGCTACGGACTCTAGCCGAAGACAACAACTCGAAATTTTTGTGTTAGAATTTTTTTCCTCAACTGTCCGTCTACTTCGTCCGATAATAATATTATATACAAATGAAATATTTTAATTCAACCGCTCCCTCTGTCAATTATGTCATATGACTGTGTATAGTGTTCACTAAATAAGCTAGTCTGAATTTTGCATCGTTATAATTAAAGCGCCATTACACTCTAACTTACTCGGGTCGTTGGTTAGGGTATCCCCGCCAATAATCTGGTTTAACAATCAATGTTCAAAATACAATAGACATTTCTATGCTTTTTTTCTAAGCGAGCCTGTCATCGCGCGAACTATATATATATATATATATATATATATATATATATATATATATATATATATATATATATAAATAAATACATATACATACATATATACTTATATAGATATATATATATAAATACATATACATACATTTATACTTATATATATATATATACTAGCCCTGCACAGGCCTCTGTTAAAAACCTATCTGTAAATGACATGTGTGTTTTGTAATCAGCATTGCCCACCATAACCACAACCAACCAAAACCAAAACACAAAAAAAGCAAACATAACATAAACGCAAACACAAATACAAACGATAACAGAAACGCAAATGCAAACGCAAACGCAAACCCAAACCAAAACCCAAACACAAACGAAAACACAAACCCAACCACAAACCCAAACACAAAACAGAAAAAACAAATACAAAAACAAAACCAAAGAAAACACAAACGAAAACGAAAAAGCAAACGAAAACGAACCAAATAAAAACGCAAACCCAACCACTAACACACACCCAACCTAAACACAAAGAAAACACAAACGTAAACATAAACGCAAAGTGTAAATTTTGTCACTTGCAATATGTAATGCATTGTTAGTTTTTGCCTATAGCTTTAATGGTGTAACTGTTAGTTTGTTTCCACATTAATATATATATATATATATATATATATATATATATATATATATATATATATATAAATATATATATATAATAAAGAAACAGTAAATGTAAGGTAAAACTAAAAATGCTTTAAAATAAATCAAGAGTTATCTCCCCTAAATTTCCGCAAACATTATTTTTAAAAGCTTTTATTTAACTTGCTTTTTCTGTCTGTCGTGCTTAGTGCAGTGCTTCGTCATGGATCTAAAATTTCGAGAAATTATCTCTGACCCTATTCGTTTCAAACTTGGCAAGATCGATGACAAAGCTACCTGATATCAAATTGGATTTTGTCTGGATGACTTATAAAAATTTTATGAATCAATTACAATTTACTAAAATTAGCAGGGTGACTACTATTTACCGAACTATTATAAACGTATTTTATGTTTGTATGTGCGTATTATAAGGCGGAAAATAGTACTTGTAAAGGAACATTTAATTTATTCTTCAAAACTCATTAAGTCAAATTTAAAGCCACATGACTTTGTCATTGGATCTGGACTTACGTGCCATATTTGAAAGAAATTCGTCGAATTTTCACTAGCCTGTTTTGATTTATAACAAGATAAATGCAAGAGAAAGAAAGTTAAATACGAGATTGTAATAATACATTATGAAGCCAATCTCAATACCTATAGTTGTCGTAGTAGTTTTAACTGTACTTGATGTTTTGGATGTCCCATCCCCTCCTGGAGCTGAGGGTGTCACTGTTTTTACAATATATAATATCGTAAAGTTACACATCTTTAACACTAGTTAATTAATATTTATTATGTTCATTTAATATGTATAAACAATAAAATACTTGTGCTTATGTTACAAACGTATTCTAAATAAAAGATGTATAGATCGTTTTCATTAAAGACCATATGAATTTTATTTACTGCCACTTAATATTTTTAACCAATTATAATCCGAATAAAATTACGCGTGTAAAAAGAACTTGACACCCTTCTTGGCCCTGTTTTTGATGTACTGTGTATGCGCGTTTAAAATCATTCTAATTCCTTTAACCTAACCGTAACCCGAATGCGTAGCCATAACCCTAACCCTAATGCTTAACCATAAATCTAGCGCTAATAAATCACAAACCCCTAATCCTATAAAACGTTTTAACAGTTTCTATTTACTAAGTAAAATAGGAAAAAAAGCAAAATAAAAACTTAATAGGATTTTAAACCACGCCACGAAAAACTTGCCTGATGCGTAACCACTTCGACCACCCGAACAAAGATGAAAAAATCGAAAAGTGTATTATGATACACAACAAATATGTGTGCAAGCCCATTTTTATTTCTTTCGCAAGCCTTTTGGAGGCTTAGAGGTATGCAATTTGCTACGCATAGTTACTTCGTATTTTTTATCATATAAGGGCGTATCCAGAAATCCGATTGTAAAAGTTTACTAATGGATATTTCTTAAATTATCTTTCTTATATCAAAATGTAAGTAATATACATTCAGCTTAAATTGGTATGGAGATAAATTTAGAGTAAAAACACGTTGAAAATGTACTGAAAGAGGTATTTTTACAGCATTACAATTAAAATAGACTAATAATAGTTAAAGTTACCTGCAGGTGGGTTATCTTTTGTTGTTGGGTTATCATTCTCAGTTGAGTTGTCCTGAGCTATGCATACAATTAAAATAATATTTTTTATGTATTAGAATAACAACACTAACAACAAAGTATAATTTGTAGGGATAGACAAACACAGCGTTTTAACAAACATTATTGCTTAAGCGGTTTTTACTCTTCTTTAATTAGTCTCATTATCATATAGGCCTATCAAACTAAGCTTCCAGACAACGATCAATACAGCAATACTTTTTTTAGAAACCTTTTGTCATTATTTTAAATATATAGCCTACATTGCTCGCCCAAAAAACATTTTTACTACAGAATTAAAAGTTTAGTTTGATTAGTACGAGGTAATATTTTCCCTAAAATCCTATTCAATTAATTTAACCAAATAAATAAATAAAACCCACATTTTACTTGTATTAAATTACTCATGACATTTGGTAAAACACTAAGGATATACTGTGATATTGTATTTACATTTCTATTGTGTTTAAACCAAACTACCGACCTGAAACACCTCCAATGTTCGCTACTGTAAAAAATAAAAATAAAATATAGACTATGTAATTATACTTTGAATAATATAATTGCACAAAAAACAAAATTAAGCTTAGGATAGTAGTTCTTATTTATCTGTTACTACCTATTAACACTGACAAAATATAAACGGAATCATCATGTAAAGTTTTTAACGTACGTCTTACAATTTAATGGGTAAGTACTTACACAACAGTAAAGCACAAAAAACTGAAATGAAAAAACAATTACGTACAGGCATATATATATATAATCAAACAACTGTTGCCTCTTAGTTCTTTCTTGGTTGGACAAAGGCTATGGAAGCAAATCCAAAAGAAAATCAGGCTGAAATAGTGGTCAGCCAGTTGACAAGTACTACTTAATTGTGTTGGAGGAAATCCCTCCAACACAAGAATTAATAATGAAGACGAAGAAGAGATAATTTATTTCGTTTTTACTTTCTCGTATATACGAAGTATAGAGAAAGTATTGTAATCGTGCAAAAAGAAAATCGAGATTTTTTACAAATCTCGACGTTTTACACCTCACTGATACGGAAAAACATAATTTTGCAATCTTGTCTGTATGTCTGTGTGTGTGTCTGTCTGTCTGTGTGTAAACACAATTACTTGAGTACCGTTACAGCTAGGTTGATGATATAGGTATTTTATCAAAATCGTAGATCCGTATCAACTTTTGAGCGACTTCCGACAACCGGAAGTGGTACTTTTTCTACTTTGAATTTTTCAAAAGCCTATAACTTGAGTACTATTTCAGATAGATAAATGAAATTTCAAATGTAAGTAAAAGATCTAGATCTCTACCTTCTATCAAATTTTGAGTAATTTCTGTTGACCGGAAGTACTAATTTACGCTATTTCCGATTTCTCAAAAACGCATGTAAATTTATAAAGAACTAATAATATTGCGCACTATTATGCGCTTTTTGCTTTGGCGTTCACTTGGTGCGCAATTCTTTTTTCTACTAGATTTTATTCTATTTTTAAAAGTTTAAGTAAACAAAAATCATGTCTATATTCCGAGTTGCCATCCCACGTAGTGTTATATTAGAATATTCGAGAAAGTTTAGGGGCGATCACTCCCGGTTTATTTTTTGTCGTTTTCGTTATCATACTTGATTAAAGCAATAATTGATTAATTTTAACTTACTGATGATTTTTGCCATTTTTTCAAAATCGTCACAATTCCACCTAAGGAACAATACAAAATGTATGCGGTGTTTTAAATATTAAAAATAGAAGTAATTTTTAGCTATGGTGATTAATAATTGAACCTGAATATTAAAGATATGTAGTTAATTTCTTGAGTGAATTAACGAAAATAAAACCTTCTTAGGATATTTGTGTGCATATAGTGCTACAATTATTGTATTTAATCCTACTTACTGTCTGGTGCACACAATTATTCCAAATCTTCCTGTTCTCAGGTGTTTCTCTCTGCCTTTTATAACATCGATACGTTATCGCAAGCCACCGTGCCTCGACTGTTGTGGCTACGAAAACTTAGTTACTCTGCACGAGTTGCACTTTATTACTTCCCTCTGTATATTTTTAACCCTCCACCTTCATAGCACATGCATGTATATGTGTCATTTCCACTGACCATATGTTTAGAATTAAAAGCCTTATTTCATCGTTTTGTAAAATTCTATAGATAGTTTACTCTCAACCCTCTGTAAGATATATTAAATAAAATGATTGTACGTATTTTTAATTAAACTACAGAAAACGTGGTATGGTAGTTAAACACAGTTATCAATCATTAGAGATAGAACAGATTATGTTAAATACCCTCTTCAAAAAAAAGTTTTATTTTTAAATAAACACCAGGAGTGATCTCCCATAAACTTTCTCGAATATTCTTATATAAAACAACAGAGGATGGGAACTCGGGATATAGACATGATTTTTAATCCATTTTAAATACTTAAACTTTTAAAAATAGAATAAAATCTCGTAGAAAAAACTATTGCACACCAAGTGAACGCCAAATAAAATGTGCATAATGGTGCGGAATATTTTTAGTACTTTATAAATTCACATGAGTTTTTGAGAAATCGGAAATAGCATAAATTACTACTTCCAGTCAACAGAAGTTATTCAAAATTTGTCAGAAGGTAGACAATTAGATTTTCTACTTACATGTAAAATTTCATTTATCTATCTGAAATAGTTCTCAAGTTATAGGCTTTTGAAAAATTCAAAGTGAAAAAAGTTACACTTTCGATTATCGGAAATCGCTCAAAAGTTGATACGGATCTACGATTGTGATATAATACTTATATATGAAATTTCATCAACCTAGCTCAAGTTATCGTGTTTACAGACACACACATACACACACACACAGACATACACACAAACAGACATACGGACAAGATTGCAAAACTATGTTTTTCAGACTCAGGGAGGTGTAAAACGTCGAGGTTTGCAAAAAGTCAAGTTAGGGAAAATAAAGGTGGCTGGGCATAATGCTGTCCACACCTTCCCGTCATATGAGGAGGTCGAGAAACAAATGAACTCTACTTCATCTTCAATGGATCGCTAGATCTAAAGAGGATTCTTTACTTACATTTTTCGTTTTAATAACGATTTCTAAATACAACATCAGCGTGAAATCTTTCTCAAATCAACCCTATTAAAATAAAATTAACATGCCATATATGTCATGTCAATATTAAAAAAGCATTTGAGGTTGTGTATTTTAATTTTTCAATTGTTTTGTTTAATGGAGTATAAAGAAAGCTGTACGAGCTTGTAAAACAAAAATACACGATGACAATAGTATGTTAGAAGCATTAAAAAATAAGTATTATTGTAAAAGGTAAGTTCACCAATAGTATATCGTAGTTGCTGTGCGGTCAGATTGCATAAAGTGCTACAAGTAATGACGGATTTGTGCAACGAAGATTTTATCTAAGTTGAAATTGAGAATGGCTGGGTGTAAAAATATTTCTATTATATGGAAAACATCCTAATGATTGTGATATACTAGATTGTTAGGAAATGCACTTAACATTTTATTTATATTATCAAGAAATAAGACAGAAACGACCAAGGGAGACTACTATAAAATTCATTTGTACTGTAAATATTACAAGTGGCATACCTTTATCTAGTTATCTTTCACGTAGACCCCTTGTGGGGGATAGGAAGGAAACCTCTAGACGATGCTTCACTGACGAATGACCGCTTCCATGTTTGTTCTGTCTACCAATTTTCGTCTTTCTTTCTTATGTGCTAGATGTGTCCAATAAATTCCCATTTGCGCTTTCATTTATCTCATGCAACAAAAAATTAAAAAAAAAAACTGTCCTGCTTAAAAGAAATTTAAACCTATTGAATGATTTTAAGTTATTTAAGTTTAAAACATATTTTCTTTATAAGGTAATAAAGTAGTATAGATTCACGAGGTCGTAGTGCCTTATTTTTATGCTGAAGTTTATTGAGATGTTATTACTTAATGAAGACTAAGCTTAAAGGGGTTATTTCCGGAGAAAAAGCAATTTCTAATGCATGTAAATAAATTTCCTCATTTTAGATATACATAAATAAATAAAATGTCTTATTAATTAAGACGTTGTTTTTTCATCGAAAAGGAAGATTTGATTTTAACGTAAAAGCACAACGGTGAAAAAATATGGACAATTTACTTGTATGCTAGCACGTTATAATGCTGATCGCAAAATGTATTACTAAATTTTAGAGAATGTTTGTTTTCTCAGCTTGCTCATTTAATGGCTTGAAAATACCGATCACGGCGTCCCTTTCTAGTACAAACTATTGTAGATACACATAAAACATCAAAAGCAGGTTTTTGATTTATAAACATTTTTCCTGAATTTCAGAACAATTTCTTATTTCTTTAAACTTTCAAGAGCTTTTTTGATGTGATCGATATGAAATTTAAAAAAAAAAAAAACTTTAAAATCTAAACTGTGAAATAAAAATAAATTTCAACTAGATATTACAAATGTCTAACCCATTTGTATTTTAAACATGAAGTTGAAATTTAAAATACTCACCAGTACTTAAAAGGAATATGATTTATGTTTCAAATTCAAAATATTTTTAATCATATTTACTAAGTTTCATCACACGCACAAAATAATAATATGAATTTTAGTGCTTTATAAGTATCGTTAATGTACATGAATTTGAAATAATATTTCAAACCATTTCTAACATGAATTTAGTCACAATACTTTTCGAACTCATTTTTACGCCACAGAAGCCTACCTGTAGGAATTAGCGCAAGTTAATAAACAGGTTTCGCTGCTTAATGCAACCTTATCTGTATAATTATAAAACGCAATATGCCAAGCGCTAAGGCCAGATTTGTATAAAATGTATTTCTTTTAATACACTTTGGATAACTAGGTTGTCACGGTTTTAAAATTGCATTTCTCGAGGACACGATAACAGTTTAATACGACTTTTTAGATTACCAACTGTGATGGCTTCGAAGACTGTATGTTTGTATAGTGTTTGACATTTCGAGTTATACTATGGTGAAAGAGAATAGATTTTTTTGTTTACATGATATTGTTAATATATTTTATTAGTTTAATTTTAAACGATACGGTATTTTTAAACTGTACATTACATTAATTATAACATACAGCAGTGATATACTATTTTTAAGCTGATGTACTCATCTTTTTTTTATGTCCTGAAAATTCGTTATTATTCAATACATATATTTTTAATTGCTAAGTTAAAGAAAAAAAAAGAAAAATAATTAATAATGAATTAATAATGAATAACAAAAACTTTCCAATGTTATTAGATTAAATCTTATAAAGAAAAAATACTAAATAGTAATTTTAAAGGGAGATCACTTCTAAGTTGTAAAAATGAATCAGTATAATCGTGTTTAACAACCTTTATCAACTATGTGTGTTATTGGAGTACGTACATGTTTTTTTTTCGTTTTAGCCTCGCCATTACTGTCCTAATAAAACAGGTGAGGGAGGGAGGGAGGGGGGGGGGGTGATTAACAGATGTGTACCCTTTGCTAAACATTTCCGGTGTTGTTTGTGTGTTTGGGCCACTTACGATTTCCATACTTTGAACTGACTAAAGTTTGTTTCGCTTTAACGTGAAACATTAAAATAATAAGAGGACTTACTGTCTTCCAATTATAATCTACGCTACACGCTATTTATCTTACTGCTGGCATTTCAAGAAGTGGGTTTATTAGTATCCCCACACAGTATGTGAATATCATAGCCCCTCGCAATGCTTGAGTCACATGACATTTGGTTCATGACAACCGTGGCAAGTTCAGGCATGTTTCATTCTGCGCGAGTGCACAGGACTTTCAAGTCAGTCAACGTATATAATATAACGGAAATCAAAACGAAAACAAATTATGTGGTAAAAATTTAAACTTTTTATATTACGATGTCCTACTTGTTAAGACTGATTGGTGCCTGTGATCTATAGTGTACAATTTAAGTTTTAGTCGTTTTGATTTTATCATAGATACAAACAGTCTCATTTAAGAACATGTGGAGAATTACGGGAATAGTTAAAACCAATGAGCTCTGTGCTGTTATCTCAACGGGTGGACCTTATTAGAATGTCAAGAACATTGATGCAAAATCTAGCACCGAATAGTATACAGCTTATCCACTCACTAATTAATTATGACATCTACAACAGTATAAAATGTATCATGTGATTATGAAGGATTTTTTATGTCTTGGGGTTGATGAGGGTTGAAAGAGGAGGGGATTCGGGTCAAAGGTTATTATTGTGTGAGGTGGGACGATGGGGGCGTCAGGAGTGGAAAGATGGTGAGAGAGAAGAATGGAGTTGACTAGTATCCAGGTCTTTCTATTTTTGTTTGCTTTCTATCATGAACGAATAAACACATGTAAATTAAAATTGTTCCCACTTTGAGTGCATAGCAAATTTACTTGCTTATCAATAGGATGTTATTAAAATTATATTTTTACAAGTTCATTATTCATAATTTTAGTCCTACAATTAATTGATATATAGTTATAGTCTCGTAAGCAGCGGCGTAGGCAGTGGGTGTTAGGGTGGGTCAACGCCCCCCCCCCCCGCCATAGACCCCTCGGTATATATATAAAGTTTGAGGGGGGGGGGTGTTAATCGAAAGTTTGAGGGGGGGGGATGCTAATCAAAAAATGTGACCCCCCCCCACATGAGACGATCCTGGCTACGCTACTGCTCTTAAGTGTATTTTTGTTTGAAATTGTACAAAATGTAAATTAGTATAATGTTGGTAGTTAGTTTGTTAAATATCATTTCTCATGCAACGCCATTATGATCTAATATATAATAATATCTAATATCTAATATATAAAACGTGGTAAGTACGTATGAATAAAGCACTCCCGCTTAAATATAGTGAGATTGGAGTTGTGATTATATTTTTGTTTGTGGTTATGATCAGGGTTGAGTTAGTGTTAGAAGTATGTATATTTTCTTATTCGTCCAATTATTTTAAATATTCACCTAAGTCAGAGAAGCTCAATGTATATACTAGTAGTACATTTTTTTTATTGTATTTAATGTGTAAACCTGAATATTTTTAATAAATTGATACCACAGTAAATTCTTTAACATATATACATTTTTACATACAAGCTATGATTAAGCCTATTTTACTTTCCTGATTTAAATACCGTATACACACTTTAGTATCATATTATCATGCCTTCAAAACTGTATAGAACAGCAACAATTTTTTTATCTTTAAAAAAACTTTGTAGGGGAACGGCGATGGATATAGCTGTTTGATAAGGAAAAATGTTTGATATTTTTTTGGTGTTTCATCTTAAGCGGGTAGGCTAAAAAAGAAAAAAAACTTTTTTAATACTAGAGATCAAACATTTTTTTCTCTACAGCTTTTAAAGGTACATCGGTATTTGTGTTTCCATTTTCTAAAAAAAAAATTGATAAAATTTGGTAACTAAGACCATGGCAGCCATCTAAAAAAAACCTCTTCGTAAGATTTTCACCATTCATAAATTATTAAATTTTATACACCAAAAAACAATGAATTCATAACCTTTTAGCTCATGGTTGATAAATTCGAAAAAAATTCTCGAGTTCAAACCCTCTGGCAGATAAGGCTCGATCCCTCCCAACACTAAAAATTAAGAACGAAGAAGAAGAAGATAACCTTTTAACTTATTTTGGCGTACTCAGCTGAAATGGTGTGCAGATCTACAAACTAATTTATTGTGAATTTTTAAATTGTGGGTCAGTTAAAAACACTATATTTAATGCCTTAAAATTCTCCCCAATTTTTTTTAACTCCTCCCCAGACCCCACTAAACACTCCACAGCATATTGAGTCACCTCTTGAAAAATAAATTTTAATTTTTAGTTATTAAATTACATATTTTGTATTATGTATAAAGTACCATTTCTGTTGAATGAAATTAAATATGAGAAAGACGTTTTTATATGTAAATGAGATTCGGTTCGTTTTAATTATTAGCTTTTATGTAATAATGCACTAAAAAAGGGAAAAATAAATGATATTCTTTAAATATATAATAATACACTGCTTTTAAAAAAAAGAAAATAAAGAAAAGCGTGGGTAGTTTCCATAGATATTAGTTTTAAAGGTACCTAATGGATAATATAGAAGCCCACGCTTTTCTTTACAGTTTATGTATTTAAATAAAATCCTTCATTTTCTACTATCGAAGTGTTAATTTTTACGCATGCTCCACTATTCAACCATGCCGTCGCAAACACAAGCTAGTTCACTCTTGCTTAGTTGTAAGTTAATTTCACTGTATTTTATATTGATATTATACTTTTTTTTCAAAAGACAACGAAAAACAAACTAAATTGCAAAGACTACTTTATTTTTCTAAGTCATACTATACATGTAATAAATATTTTTTTTAAAAATTAACAATGATTAACGATATTAATCAAATACAAAGTGTTTGAAATTTTACATAAATCTCATACATTTAGTACTTATGTTCAAACATGTGTATTTGGAATTTATTTCACAATAATGGGTGTTGTTTTACAATCACAAACTCAGATAACGTTTATGTTAATCATATACCAAAACTCAAATTTAAAATTAAAATTTAATTTATTAAAATGTAAATAAAATCTGGAAATAGATCTCAGTTTGGAAATCTTTTTTTTCAAAACTGAAATATACTATTTATAATATAAAAGTTTAAAATAAGTAATAAATAATATAATCGAAACACTATTATCGGTATTCATCAACATCACTACAGAAAATATGCATTAGAAGTATTTTTGCCAAATGGATTTTTCAGATAAATTTGTTTTAGACATTTTACTCCAAAATAATGTAAAATAATCTGAAATGTATTAACAAAAGGAGTTTTCAAAAAGAAAAATTAACAATTTCAACAACACATACTTTTTGTAATATAGTTGAGTCATTTACCATAAAAATAGATACGCTGGTATGCGGACGGAGTCTTTGTCATGAATGAAAATATTACACCAAAAGTTTAAACATAACACCAGCCGTAAGTAAGACATACGAAAAGAGCTGTATGTTGTCTGCACCTGGTGATTTAAAATAAAATTATATATATATATATATATATATATATATATATATATATATATATATATATATATATATATCATACAAAAGTATTACAAAATAAATAGAACAGTGGTTTGTAAACGGAAAGTAACCAATCGCCAAGAGGCGCGGATAACGGCCAAAGTGTAAGAGAAAGTTTTTTACAGAAATGTAGTATGCTTAAGAATAAAAATACAAGTGAATTGTTATTTCAATATAAATAAGATTTTCTCCCCTGATAGGCGTATTTAATTATACAATCCATAATTGATGAATGTAGTGTTCCTTCCAGGCATCTCTCAAGTCCCCCACACACCAAAGAAAGTCTACCGCCCCAACCCCCGAACGAAATGGAAATTATGTAGAAAACATACTTTTAATAGTGTACGCCAACCCCCCCCCCCCCCCCCCCCGAAAATATTTATTCTGCCGTCCACTAAACAATTTCGAGACCCCTCCCCCCCCCCCCACACACACTCCAGGGGGAAAAATTCTGTATAAATGTCACTGTTGCTTTTCACAAATTTTAGACCGAAGGTTTGTCCTGTGGATACTAAAATCTATGATTCGTTCACTACGTCTGCGGTTGGAGTTTCAGTGGATAGAAGATGAGAGAGAGAGAGAGAGAGAGAGAGAGAGAGAGAGAGATACAAATGTATATCAATATGGCAATACATACCGCACTTTTCGTTGTATTTAGTAACTGATGGTTCTAGTCCAGGGCATGTTTCGGAAAGACATTTCCCGTAAACTCCCAACAACCTTAATTATAATATGTGTATGCATATATATATATATATATATATATATATATATATATATATATATATATATATATATATATATATATATAATGTTTTAATATGTATAATCTACGATACTTCAACAATGTTATTATTAAGTCATTCGAATCACTATTGTTGTATTGTTTAACGCTGTATACAATGTTTTGCTGATAATCATAATATATAAATATGTATGTAATAAATACATGAGATATTGTTTTCTACCCACTATTATTATCTTATCGATGTTTCTCAGACTTTTTTTGTAAAACCTGTGGGCTATTTTACATGAACAAATTTAAGCAAAATCGACATATGGGTTTGGTAATTTGAGATATGGGATAATATGATCAATACAACATTGTTTTAATGAAATAATATTTCTAAACACGTATTGCTTTAAAAATAAAATAAAAAGTTAATTAGTACTTACGTGCAGTCTATGGTTTTTTGATCGGGTGACAGCATAGCAGTTTTATTCGCAAGACACATCTCATTAACGCAAGTTAAGTTGGCTTTTAACAAATTGTCAACAGCTGTTTTTATATCTTTTTTAGAAAAAGGATCATTTACAGATTTTTTTTTAAAAATATGTATTTAAACTGATGTTTAAATACTTTATGTTTTAGTAACTTTATTAACTTTTCAAATCCTACCTGTAGCTCGTCTTTTACGACCTCCTGAATATGGGCAATCAAATGAATTTCATTATATATATATATATATATATATATATATATATATATATATATATATATATATAATATATATAAAGCTCAATTTTGTATGTTTGTAATAAGTTTGTCGTTGACATACTTCGATGGATTTAAGTGTTAGATTATTATCGTGCTCATAGTCTACATTTATGAGTTTAAAAATTACTATTGAAAGTGTTGGGAAATAATTTTCATTTTTCAAACTGATAGTAATAATTATCGGCATGTTCATTAAACACAATTTTTAAAAAAATATCATCTTTTACAAAAAATCTAATTATGTCTGAAAATTATTTATATTTAGTCCTTTAGCACTTACAATTACTTCCCTTTATAAAACATTGCATTAGTGGAAAAGAATTTACTTTTTATTACTTTGTTTTGGTGTTGGGAAAAAAAATAATTACATAATTAGCGGGGATTGATCAAGTGCAAATGTTGTAGGTATTTTACGGATAAGCTTGGAGTATTATAATTGTTTATTTGGTTTGGTTTGGCACCTACGTTAGTTTAAGTGAGTGCAAAAGACTATGAATAAGTTGGGGGTACTATAGGCGTTTATTAAGCTGAAACAGGCGATTCTGCGCCGGGCTAGACTGTGAGCACTTTGCGTTTATGTTCGCGTTTGTGTTTTCTTTGTGTTTAGGTTGGGTTTGCGTTAGTGGTTGCATTTTGATTTGGTTCGTTTTTGTTCTTTCTTTTTTCGTTTTCGTTTGTGTTTTTTTCTTTGGGTTTGTGTTTGTATTTGTGTTTGTGGTTGGTTTTGCGTTTGGATTTGGTTTGTTTTTGTTGGCTTTTTCGTTTGTGTTTTTTCTTTGGGTTTGTGTTTGTGTTTGTGGTTGGTTTTGCGTTTGGATTTGGTTTGTTTTTGTTTGCTTTTTCGTTTGTTTTTTTCTTTGTGTTCGTATTGGTGTTTGTGGTTGTGGTTGGGTTTGTTGTTAGGTTTTTGTTTTCGTTTGCTTTTTTGTTTGTTTTTTCTTTGTGTTTGTATTGGTGTTTGTGGTTGTGGTTGGGTTTGTTGTTAGATTTTTATTTTCGTTTGTATTTGTAATCGTGTTGGTGTTATTTTTGCGTTTTGTTGTTTTGGTTTTGTTGGTTGTGGTTTGGGTGGGTAATGCCGGGTTTATGATGATTACTAAACACACAGGTAATGGTCTTTAACAGTAAGGTTTTTCACAGAAGCCAGTGCAGGGCCTGGCCGGGACGGCTTGTGTGTGTATATATATATATATATATATATATATATATATATATATATATATATATATATATATATATATATATATATATATATATATATATATATATATATATATATATATATATATATATATATATATATATATATATATATATATATATATGTATATATAATTTTGTTGTGAGCTTATGCATCTTCTCATGAACCATTGTGGACAATTATATTTTGACTACATTGTTATAGAGTAGCAGTTACAAAAAAATTAATTAACTTTTTAAATGTAGCTGGTAATAACATCCAAATACACAAACCGCTAAAAAAATATTTCAAATTTGATTAATGTATCTAACAAAAACATTTTTTTTCAAATTTGCAATTTAATTACATTAAGCTTTAGTTTAGTAAACTATTAACAAACTTTAAACGGTTAGCTTTAAGTGGTATTATCTGTTAACGTTTTTTTTAATTTGCTTACATTCACCTAAAATCCCCACACAATAAAATAGAAATATACCTATTGCTTGGTTATTAGGAGTTTTGGTAGTAGTAGTTGCCGTACTCGTGGTTGCTGCAATAAAGCAAATTTCAACATAGTGATGTTTACTAACATTTATAAAATATACTGGTATACTTAAACTTTAACAAATTATCGATTGGCTTTCTTGTTTTTATAACTAATTTACCACTACATCGACACAAGCAAACATTCAAGTAATTATATTCACAATGCAGACATATATCTGACAATGGATTTTTCTTCCAAATAAAAAAAAGTAATTTAATATATTTAAAGAAAATAGTGAGCATTAGAAAACTTCAACACTTACTTGTGGGGGTTGTTGTAGTCGCTGGTGTCGTCGCTGTCAATGCAACACATACATTTACGTTATTATTTTTAATTGTAAAGTTAATACAAATTTCTATACAATAAAACGTATAATAAAACTATTACCTTGACACAAGCAAACATTCATACAATTATGTTCACAATTTTAAAATGCAGATATATATCTGACAATGGATTTTCTTTCAAAATTAAAAAAGCTATTTAATACATTCAAAGCAAACAGTGAACATTAGATAGCGTCAACACTTACTTGTGGGGGTTGTTGTAGTCGATGGTGTCGATGGTGTTGTCGCTGTCAATGCAACACATAAAATTACGTTATTATTTTTAATTGTAAAGCTAATCAAAATTTCTATACAATAATACGTAAAAGTACACGTTTTTCGACCAGCTGGTTTAATTTATCAATTAGCTAATTAAGTTAATTATTTAATATTCTATAAAATGTTAAAGAATTCTAAAAAAAAATTTCAAAGTAAAGAAGTTTTTGTGCAATGATATTTCTATGAAATGTACACCTAGAAAATGATAAAAATTTTCGTATACAAAATTTCAAAAATCCTAATGGGAAAATATCGAGGGTTCTATAGTGAAAACTGATGTCAGTTTGGTCAAAGCTAGTTACGGTACATAAGCCTACTTGTTTCTTTTGGTGTATCTGGTGTTCCTGTTTCTGTAAAAAGCAAATACACAATTCTTATCTCTATTGTTAAAGCGTAGCTTAATAACAAACGCATAATTGATGGCTTTCTATTCTATAATCTTTTGTGCTCACGTTGTATTATATAACAAAATCTAAAGTGATTGCAAAAATTGCAGTCTATTTACATATTTAATCAGTAAGAGAGTAAAATATATAACATATATTATATAAGATAACACGCTTTTTTAAAATGCGAAAATAAAGAAAAATTTACCACACAAACGATTAACCTCGTCATAGAAATTTTCGAATTCTTTTAACACGTCGCCACTTTTGCATTCGGCGAAGTTGCTGATACATGTCCTGTAATCGACCGCCTTGCTGAAAACATTTTCTAAGAATTAGTTAAAGTATTTTACTGCAGATTTCATTATTTTCATTATTATAGATGTAAAAATTTTAACTATTGATAAAGTTATAATTTATATTTATTCTTCATAATCAACTTTAAAAATGAAATATTTTTAATAGTCGAAATGGGAAAATGTATAGTAACATGCATTAACCTGCATCTTTCTTTATCATCTTTAGCACCATAAAGACTTTCTCGTTCCGTAAAGCACGGTTTGTAGCATTTTCCAAAAAGTTCACTTGTAACATCATTGATAAACGTTGAGTCTTTGAAAATGAGGACGTTTTATAGAATCATATTACAATTAACATCAGCACCATTAGCATAATTAACATTTATAGTAAATAACACAGCAATGGCAATCGTGTTTAAAACATATAGAAACAACTGATGATATTAGTTCATGGGAGAAGCATTAGCGAATCTTTATGTTTTTTGCTTCTTAATTTTACTATCACCATCATACAAGTAAATAATTAAATAAATGGTTTTATTCATAGTTACCACTATTAGACTTTGCGAGCGCTTTGGAACAAAAAAAGAATATATATATATATATATATATATATATATATATATATATATATATATATATATATATATATATATATATATATATTTATATTTATATTTATATATATATTTATATATATATTTATTTATATATCTATATATGTATATATATATTTAATAATATATTTATTTATTTATTATTTATTTATATATCAATATATTTATTTATATGACTATAGATGTATATAATCATATATTTATTTATTTATATTATATTTATTATTATTTATTTATATTATATTTATTATTTTTTTTTATATTATATTATATAACTGAGGTTTAAAGCCCTAAGTGCGCGCTTTGGCCAGTTCCCTTTGACCATGTTGTAAGAACTTTTATAAATGTTAACACACATTCGTATCTCAGATGTTGACAGAGGTCGCGGCGATCCTGAATCGTCCTTGCAGTTTGTTATGAAAGCCTAAGGCGCTTTCCACAAGCTAAAGACGATTATGTAGTTCTTAAACAACTCTATTCAAGAAGTGTTTTTGCTGTTTATTTTTCACCAAAAACTTCACACATTAGCTGAAATAGCACAGCGAATAAATACTAGTGTAATGTTTTCTTGTAACAAATGAAAATAATAATATATTGAAAATTGAGAGTTTTTACAGGCGAATGAGTCATTTGGCCTACTTCGGGCTTTGACGGTAACAAAATAATTTTGGCTTTTGGAAGCTAATAGTAAAGGGACAATATGTACGTTTTAAAATTCAATATTACCAGCTGCAAAAAGCGTGAAGACCAGAGAACCTGTAAAAAATGTGATAAGTGCATAATTGATTTCAAAAGATGATACGTATACACAAATATTCACTTTAGTTCTATAATAATTACTATCAATCATATAAGACATTTTATAAACTAAACTGTATTTTTAGACATAGAGCAGGGTTAGTTAGATACAGCCCAGAAATTGAGCTATCCGTTTTTATACTTATACAAGGCCACCAGAGTTTATATAATCAGTAAAAACTAAAGAATAATAGCTATACTATGCAAATAACTGACAAACTTGTTCTGCTTTTTTAACTTAAAAAATAAATCTATTAAAAATGTGTGTGCCTTGTCATGAAATGTTTAACAATTCAAATATAAAATATTAAATAAACATATCTTACCAAAAAATAATCCGCACATCTTTTTCTGTAAATGCTGTAATTTAAAAGTGAGGTTAGTGTACATATGCTACTATATATATATATATATATATATATATATATATATATATATATATATATATATATATATATATATATATATATATATATATACACATATATATATATATATATATATATATATATATATATATATATATATATATATATATATATATATATATATATATATATATATATATTTATATATATATATATATATATATATATGTGTGTGTGTGTGTGTGTTACAAAATAATGTAGGACTTCAATATTATGTTCAATGCTTTTACCATTCCTTAACCTTTTAAATCAAACACATCGTTTTCATCCAGCGGCTTGCAAATAAAAATCATAAATGTTAATAAAACAATGCATAGCAGAGTTATGTGTCATAAAATCTAAAGGTTACTAGATAATATTAATTTTTTATTAAAAAGTTTTCTATATTGTCAGAAAAAAATTATAAACAATATGCAATTAATTAACAAGATTATTAACAAAATCAGAAAATCATGTAACATGTCAATAACATGTTGAAACTAGTTAAGCAGTATTATTCAATTAATTGTATTACATTTTTGTATTGATTTAAATGTTATTTGAAAAAATATTTTTAAAAACTTACAAAATATGGACGGCTCAATACAGAAAATCTAACAGAAGAAAACAAGTGAAGTCCCGATACATGAACTGCCTTTTATAGTCTTTTGTTTAAAGTGTTTTAATTTGCTGTTGACGTCTGTAATCCCAATGAAAAAAAAAATCAAGGTGGTGTGGTGGTGCGTTGGTATGGTTTCGACGGTTATCGAACATTGTCCCCTTGTCAATAACCTACTTGTATCACCCCCTGCTATTACCCCCAGATAGATTACAGCTGTTAATTAACAGATTTGTCCAATTTTCCTCTTGAAAATACAAACTATTAACAAATAGGGAGATAATCGAATTCCAAAGAAAGCCTTTTACACCCAGAACGTACTCTAACCACAATATAAAACGTGTCCCTATCCTGCTATCTTTCCATATGCGGATCATAATCCCAAAAGCCCAATATCATTATTAAAGCTTCCTTATTACTTTATCGCTTTATTGTTATATCCCTTTATTGCTATATACCTGTTTCCCTAACCCCCTATACCCCTACACCTCCCTAAACCCATACCCATATATGTCTATACCCTTATACACCTATACACCTATATTCATATTTTATTGTATCCTTATGTTTCTAATTCCCAGTGTTTCTTCCAGACTTTTTTCTCCGGGGAGGGCACTTGAAATTTTCGGGGGGGGGGGGGGGGCGGTAGACTTTCTTCGGGGGGGGGGGGTGGGGCGGACACTGTTAAAAGTATATATTTTCTATATAAATTATATAAATTTCATTTCGTTCGGGGGGGGGGGGGGGGCGGCAAATTTTTTTCGGGGGAGCTTAGCCCCCCCGAAGAGATGCCTGGAAAAAACTGCTAATTCCCATAAATTATTTTTTTCCTGTATTCTTGTATACCTATATCGCTTCATCCATAAAGCCTTGTATTCGTATATCCATATATCACAATATTCTTATATCCCTATATTCCTGTGTCCATATATCCCTATGTCCTTGTATCCCCATCGGATTTTGACTAACGTTTGAAGTTTAAAATAAAAGATTTGGTAGGTACTTTTTAAATTACGATTACAAAAGTTCACCCAGGTCAACATGCTGTAGGCCTACGTGGAAAGTAAACAAGAGTAGGACGAATCCATTTAAACAAAAGCTATTATAACATTTATCAAACGTCTGGATCTTATGGAGGTTGGCCATGGTTTTTAAGTATTAAATACATTGATTAGATAACATTGTGTTGGGAATCTTCTTGATACCTAGTGAAGCTATTATTAAGTAAAGGTGTCTTCGGATTTCGGGAATTCAGAAATCTCATTATTTTCTTCCCTTTAGCAATATCCTTACGAGTATTACGTTTGAGAGAGTGAGACATTGGACATGAAATTAAGACCAGAAAAGGCAGGTGTCATGTTATAAGGGTAGCGTATTCTAAAACAATATTGTTAAATTGTTATTCTTTGTCGTATCTTGTGCCAACAAGTTGATAAGTCGAAAGCTCCAAGAGAAATCTTATACAATTCATGCATTTCCTTTCACTTTATAATAAAGTACTTCTAAAATGTACTTTAAGATTATTTAATTCGTATAATAAAGTGTTATAATAAATGTTTGAAAATAAATGTCTGAAGTAAAGTTTCCCTTTCAAATCTGACGGTCTATGGGGCAAGTGAAGTAGAGTTCACTTGTTTTTGTGACCTCGGCATATGAAGAGATAGTGTGGTCAGCACTTTGCCCAGCCGCCTTTACTTTCCCTGACGTGAGTTAGGTACTCATCAGCGTTGGGTGGACTCAGGGACGGTCTACTGACTTGAACCCGGATTCGAACTCGAGACATACGGGTTAGCAGTCCAGCTCTCCACCATAATGTCTGAAGTAGATGGAAAAAAACGTTAAAGCTAAAGGGAAACTTGGTTAACAGACATCGAAAGACAGGTTTAGCAAAACAAACTGATTTTTAAATTATATACTAACATAACGAGTAAGCTTCGATTACTTATCCATTTATATTTATATATATATATATATATATACACATACATACATACATATATATATATATATATATATATATATATATATATATATATATATATATATATATATATATATATATATATATATATATATATATATATATACAAAATCGTGTGCGCATTAACGTGTGAATAATATTATGCTCGTGGTTGTTATGAGTTTCCTTAAACGGATATGTTCTATTAGTCAAGCAACCCACCTCTTAACTTCACAATATTTATAATTAATGTACAAGATACAATGGGATTCAATTTGAATTTTTTATTAATTCAAATTTTTGTTGTAATTGTTTTTATTTGTTATCAATTTTCTCAGATCTATTAGTCGTAGAATCCTTTTAAAGTTATAAATAACTAGGTAGCAAATACTTTAGTCAGCGCCAGGTCGCTAACCCCAAAGTCTCAAGTTCAAATCCGGGTTAAATAAAAGCAATAAGATTTTACTTTATGGATTAATCAGGTTTGTAAAAAATATAAAAAAATAGACATTTTGTTTGGGGTTGGAATGATCTACTGGTAGAACGTACGACTGCTAACCCGAAGTCTCGAGTTCGGTCAACGTTTCTTTGTCCACTCAGCTCTGATGGGTACCTAACTCATGTTAGGGAAAGTAAAGACGGCTCGGCATAGTGCTGACCACACATACGAACTCTACTTCATCTGCTCAATGGATCGCTACGTCTGAAGAGGAATGTACTTTTGACATACTTTAAATGAGATGTATTGTTCCTGTATGACCTAGACTAACACCACAGTCGTGTAATCCGCAAACAACGCACAACCGATAGATCTATGCAAAGGGAAGCTACTTGTAAAATGCTAACTTCCATTTATTCTATGAATTACAGCCCATAACTGCAGAAAAGCAGAAGGGAAATAGCTCGTAAAATCCAGTTCTTAGTATTGTTAAATCTTTTCGTTTTAAAATACGGTAAATAAATTCCATGTTTATATTATGTTGAACATCGTGTCAAGTTGATGAGACATAGATCTAACCAGGCGTAGACATTGATACGAAATCTTTGTCTTCCATATTGTCAACGTTTTAAAACTGAATTTCCGTTTTTAAATTTACCCAACAAAAAAGTTTAAAAAAAAGTGTATGTTAAGGTTATTGTAGATTAAAATGCAGAAATACGGAAACTAACTGCTCAAATTCAGTCGACTACTTTATACTATGTAGACTACATAATTGAAGAAGAATGGAAGGTTTTTAGTAGCATAGCTTGTCCCATATCGAATTATTGTTTCTAAATTCAAATTAAGACAAAGCATTTTAAACAACTATAAAAATACCAGACTTAAACTTTTTATATCAAAACTATTTAACAACGAACATACAAGTTAACAGGCTAAAGTATCGTTGACTGGGTTATCATGGCAGTAAAAACCTGAAAACACCTATCAGTAAAATATCTTTAAGGTGACACTCAGGCTGATACTACCAGGAAGTAATACATACAGAAGGAGGCCCTCGCTAACTTGATAATATGACACTTCATACACTTAGTGGTATCAATTCATTTCCTGTTGTTCTTTTTTAATTTGTTTTTATTTTAGATAATTTATAATTTTATTTTGTGAGGCAATGATTTCAAGCTTCTTAGCTATTTTATTGAAAAGTATTTACTAAATATTTAAGTATAATAGCTCCATTATCTTATATCGATGTTGGTTATACAACAGAGGAAATTGAAAACCAAAACAGAAATGTGTCGACATTTTAATAAAACATCGAAAAAAAAGACATCCATTTTTATAAGATATGTCTTAATTAATATTAGTGATGTATATCAAACCAAAAAAGCCGTCATAAAACATCACAAATCATAACTTATTAGATATATTTAAACGAAAATAATGAAAAAAAATGGTATCATGATTATTCAGAAGACTTTACGAGAGATAAAATAAATATGCGTAACCAAATAAATGCTTGTAATAAAATCAATAAACATAACATCAACATGAACTGTGCTATAGAAAATCTTTATGAATCAAAATGATTTGCATGTAATATTTACCCTGTAAACACAAGAAACACACGCAAGCACACACACACAAATACATACACTCTCACACACACACACACACACACACATATATATATATATATATATATATATATATATATATATATATATATATATATATATATATATATATATATAGGCCTATATCACTTCATTTTAGTTTTTACTAAACTGGTAGTGACAATCTCCATACTATGGCAGGTACCTATATACATTTGTAAACAGAACAAGTCCAGTTAGCTGCAGCATATACGTATCTGAAAAAAACAGTTTATATTTTTATATTCAATGTGTTTAAATAAAAATATACTAAAAAATACTAAAAAACATATTATAATTAAACATTTAAACGCAATTTGTTAGGGATTGAACACTTCCTACTTGCTGGTTTAGCGTTTCCTCCATTTTTAGTCGTCACTTCATGTGAGGTCGTATTTGATGATGTATTGGTTGTTGAGGAAGTGCTATTTGTTGTAGTGGTAGGTGTTGTTGTGGTGCTGGGTGTCGTAGTTGTCGTAGAAGGTGTGTTGTCGGTAGCGCTAGACGTACCGGCAGCAGGGGTGACTGCATCTACAGCTTGCAAATAACCTAAAGAAAGAGGCATATAATTTTTACCATAACTATTTAATTAAATTATACCACAGACCAGAGGCGTAGCGAGGGGGGGGGCGGGGGGGACATATGTCCCCGGGCGCCGACCTTAGGGGGGGGGCGCCAAAATGGGTTGGAAAAACAAATTGAAAGTTTGAGGGGAGGGGTGCAAATGAAAAGTTCGAGGGGGGGGTGGTGCAAATCGAAAGTTTGAGGGGGTGGGGTGCAAATGAAAAGTTAGAGGGGGGGTTGGTGCAAATCGAAAGTTTGTCCCCGGGCGCAGGGAAGGGTCACTAAGCCTCTGGTAACAGCAGCCGAACGCACTACCATTCAACCACGCCGTCCTATAATATTACACTTAGTTTCAGCAAATAATATATTTTAATGTTTTAAAAAGATGATTAGCATTTTGAAATATCTAAACGTACATTTAACCACATTATCAAACCACTCTTTAAGGAAGTGATTAGCAATCAAGCAATTTGTTTTTTATGTACAATTTCAACTTACCGACCAATAGAGTAAGAGCGAACAAAACTGAAAAAAAAGAAAGCAAAAACAAATTAAATCTACTCTCTGACCTTTTCCAATACTAGTGCAGTTGTACCTCGAAAAATGAGCGCCTTACATACCAGGTTTTGCTGATATCTTTAAGCAGTTGATGAAGAGGTTTTTTTTTTAATACCAGCAAAATTCGCTATACGACGAACCGAATAAGCACGTTTTGATGCATCCTTGTGTGCTGGAGTTATTTAATGACATGTGTCTAATTCATCTTAACAACATTAAGAATGGGGGCAAGAAAAAACTACCTCGGAGAATATTCCTTTTTATAAAAATGCCTGCAGGGGAAGGTGGGGGGAATAAGAACGGTTAAGAAACCTTGGCAAATATAAGCTTAACAAGCTTGACAAAGCTTAAGATACGCTCTGTCAAGTTTAGGGATATAGGTTAGTAATAACAGTGTAGCGAGATGTTGACAATGAATGACCGAAAGGATGCAAAACGAAATAAATTCTTATCTCGAGGTACCCCTTTATTCGCTTTAATATTGTATATATATATATATATATATATATATATATATATATATATATATATATATATACATATATATATATATATATATATATATATATATATATATATATATATATATATATATATATATATATATATATATATATATATATATATATATATATATATATATACTAGCCGTCCCGGCCAGGCCTCGCTCTGGCTTCTATGAAAAACCTTTCTGTTAAAGACCATTACCTGTGTGTTTAGTAATCATTCTAAACCCGGCATTGCCTACCCGAACCACAACCAACCAAAACCAAAACAACAAAACGCAAACATAACGCTAACACAATTACAAATACAAACGAAAACAAAAACCTAAAATCAAACCCAACCACAACCACAAACACCAATACAAACACAAAGAAAAAAACAAACAAAAAAGCAAACGAAAACAAAAACCTAACAACAAACCCAACCACAAACACCAATACCAACACAAAAAACAACGAACAAGCAAACGAAAACAAACCAAATCCAAACGCAAAACCAACCAAAAACACAAATACAAACCCAAAGAAAAAAACACAAACAAAAACGAAAAAAGACAGAACGAAAACGAACCAAATCAAAACGCAACCACTAACGCAAACCCACCTAAACACAAAGAAAACACTAACGCGAACATGAACGCCCGGGGCGGAATCACCTGTTTTAGCTTAATGAACGACTATAGTACCCCAACTTATTCATAGTCTTTTACACTCACTTAAACGAACGCGCCTGTTTCAATTTAATGAACAATTATAATACTCCAAGCTTATCCGTAAAATACCTACAACATCAGCACTTGATCAATCCCCGCTAATTATGTAATTATTTTTTTCCCAACACCAAAACAAAGTAATTAAAAAGTAAATTCTTTTCCACAAATGCAATGGTTTTATAAAGGGAAGTAATTGTGTTTTCCTAATTTATCAAAGGGAAGTAAGTGCTATAGGACTAAATAAAAACATAATTAGAATTTTTGTAAAAGATGATATTTTTTTAGAACTTGTGTTTAATGAACATGCCGAAAATTATTACTTTCAGTTTGATAAATGAAAATTATTTCCCAAAACTTTCAATATTAATTTTTTAACTAATAAATTTAGACCATAAGGACTTTAACTATCTAACACTTAAATCCATGGAAGTATGTCAACGACAAACAAACTTATTACATGTCAGTTACATACAGAATTGAGCTTTATATATATATATATATATATATATATATATATATATATATATATATATATATATATATATATATATATATATATGCGTGTGTGTGTATGTATGTATATGCGTATCGTCAGATATTTGTGCTATGTTCTAAAATTTACAAATTATTAAACGACCATAATGAATAAGTCCGTCTTTTGTCGTTATGTCGTTATGTGAATTGGTTTGTGTTATAAAGATCGTAAAACACGATAATTACAAGTTCTCTCTCTACCTCGCTGTCCTTGTATGTCTCTCTCTCTCTCTCTCTCTATATATATATATATATATATATCTCCCATACACAGAATACTTGAAAACATAACACACACACACACACACACACACACGAGCCCGCACATACACGTAATGGCACATAATATACACATGAACATACATACACCTACACACATATTTTAAAATAACCTACCTAATACTGATGTGTTCATTTTCCTCTTTTTTTAAATAACACAGTGAAAGATATTTATCTTGATAATGCTGCTATTAAATTTGCTCAATAAGTGAAGTATTCTAGAAAGAAAAAAAACGTTTTTATTCATTTGCATTAATAAATAAATAAAAGCGCTGTGAAAATGCATGTAAGCTTTAACATTGACAAATTACATTAGACATCAAACTGTTATTAAACATACTTTAAATAATCACACGAATACTATAAAACTTAAATTCATTAAAACTGAAACTTTACTTTGTTTTACTCTAAGCGATGACTAGTGTTTAAAAGAGGGCCTATCGTGATGTATTCACCTTTTATATCACAGATTCAGGATGATAAAACACGGATGTTTAACCACCGTGAATGGAGGGGAGGGGGAGGAGCATCAACCTGTCGTGTCTCTGACGTACCTGGTTTTTTCCACCTGCTTGCATTATCTCAATTGGTCCCCCTCCCCCTTTTTCATCCAGATACCTTGTTTGCACAATTCAACACAAGCGAAAACATTGTTTTTTTTTTTTTATACAGTTGCCAGTCACGCTTTTTGTTCAGGATCAGGTGACCTTTAACTAGTTTTCTAGGCATTTGTAGATAACGTTTTAGAAAATAACTACAGCGGTTTTTTTAGGTATACATTTAGCTCGTTGAAAAGAATAGATATTTTGCCTATGTTGTGGATACATCTATTGTCTTTTTTATCAGTGTTAAATTTTATATCGGATATGTTATAGCAGTCGGTGGACAATAATGTTGGGATATAAAGCCTTGATTAACCATAGCTAACGCTATTGTTCTAGTAAATTTACCTTTCCTGTAATTTAATACTTAAAATAGACACGGTTTATTAAAAAAATAGTTTTTTTTTTAAATATACGGATTCTATAATTAAGCTGGTGGGGATTTAAATTTCCTTTGGTCGCTAAAAATATAAAAGTTACACAAATCTGAAGCTACTAAAGCGTTTAAAAAATACACAGCACGGGTCCTCTTTGTGTTTGGTGATAGTTAAATTTTTTTTCTTTTCTAAACCCCGAAAGGAAATCCCGAGCTATAGTGTAAATATTGGAGTGGGCTTGCCACACTATTTGATTAACACGCTGTTATCAGGATGTTCTTGACAATGGAGTAAAGCAAACGGGGAAAAATGCGATCTATTTATTATGTCCTTCAGTAATATAATAGAAGGTTTTGCTTTAAATCTAAACAGCGTGCTACTAAACAGCGTGTAGCACGCTGTACAATTAGATCCCGAGTTTCTTCGAGGCATCTCTCCCCTCCCCCGAAAGACAGTCTACCCCCCCCTCCAACGAAATATGGAATTTATATAGAAAACATAGGCCTACTTTTATCAGTGTTCAACCCCCCCCCCCCTATTGAAAATGTTGCCTTCCCCCCCCCCCCCCCCAAAGATATCAAGAACCCCTGGAGAAAAAAGTCTGGAAAAAACACAAATTAGATCATTCTTTTTTTCTACACAGGACTTGGTCGATTCCTGTTCACTATAGCACATTACTTTCTTGTATGCTGGTTATAGGAGATTACTTTAGTGCAGTTTAATAAGTGAAATCAGGATTTTGATAAATGTCGACGTTTTACGCATTCCTGAGTAGGAAAACCCCATTTGGCAAATTATGTGAATGTGCGTCTGTGTAAACACTTTGACTTAATTACCACTTAGGCATTCTCGGCTTTTCTGTGATTTCCGGCTACCGGAAGGGATAATTTAAACTTTCGGTTTCTCAACACACACAAAATAAGTAGGCCGTACCGTTCCGCTTCGGTAGACTGAGGACCATACATTAACACTAGATCATTTGATCGCATATTTAAAAACACTCTTGTGATGTCGGGTAACCTTATGTGATACATAACCCTATTTCTGTTTTTTGACAGTTTTTTTTAACCGTTTTGAAATATATTATAACTAAATCCATTTCTCACAAAAGAGTACTTTTCATACTGTATATGATGTTTATTTTCTATAGAAACAAGCGATTTTTGTCTCTAATTGATAAACCACTTCTATTTCCCAATTTCTCTGGAAGTGCCCCTCCTCCCCCTCCCCCCCCTCCCCCAAATAGTTACTATAATATACGATTATTTTAGAAAGTTGAAACAAGCTATCTACAACTTGAAGCAAGCAATAAGAGTTAATAGCATATTGTAACCGAACGTTTTAAACATATGTTGCTGTAAATAGTATGCTGTACGCACGTAATTTGTGAATGAAATTTCGATTAAATAAGGAAGTTAAACAGCTAAATGTGAGATATAAAGTGAGATATAAAGTGAGATATAAAGTGAGATATAAAGTAAGATATAAAGTGAGATAAAATGAGATAAACCACGGGACTACAACCAGGCTTTAGACTGTACACTTAATATAGACTGAATGGTGACAACCCCACCGCCCCCATCCCACACACACACATACACACACCATTATTTAAAATTTTAAATTAAATTGTATAATGCACCCGGCGAAAACGAAAGGTCACACATGTAGGCAAACATCACGAGAGGGGAGGGGGAAAGGGGGCGTTTCTACATCCGGTGGGCTTGCCCGGGCTTAAGAAAGATGTGGAAAACCGGTTCTGCCCGTGGGAAGGGGGAGAATAAATCGAAGTTGTTTGAACAAAAGGCAGAGCCCGCAAGGTTTCTGTTCGAATCACGTTATATTTTTTTCTGATGCACGACGTGGCATAGTAGGTTAAGTTTTGATCTAGTACATTCAAGTCAAGTAGCCAAAATTAAAGACGTCTGGTTAATTTACTGTTTATAGTCAATTTATATATGCATAGACATACAAATATATATATATATATATATATATATATATATATATATATATATATATATATATATATATATATATAAAATATCCAAGCAATTTAAATAATCCAATAAGTCCCTTGACCCAAACTAGAGATTTAATGTACAACTCACTTTACGATAATCTGTTCTGTTGTTGTAGGTTTTATTGTACTATCTTTGAGTGTATACAATGTGTGGAAAAAATGACAAAGCACTATTCATTATCGTAAGGTTGTTTTTTTCCACGTTTTACGTGCATGCTATCAAAATTTAGCTAACAGTGGATCATTATCACACCGGTAGCCAACCATTCATTATTAGGATCATCCACATTTACCTGACAGTGAGTAATTATCACATTGGTAGCCTACTGGATAGTTCATATTGTGGCTATCTAAAGTATCAGACTTATAGCCTACTCGATAGCTCATATTGTGGTTATATTCATTATCACATCGGTAGCCTGTTCGCTAGTTCATATTGTGGCTATCACATCGGTAGCCTACTCGCTAGTTCATATAGTTATATTAGCTATCACACCGGTAGCATGCTCGCTAGTTCATATTGTGGCTATCACATCGGTAGCCTGTTCGCTAGTTCATATTGTGGCTATCACATCGGTAGCCTGGTCGCTAGTTCATATTGTGGCTATCACATCGGTAGCCTCCTCGCTAGTTCATATAGTTATATTAGCTATCACACCGGTAGCATGCTCGCTAGTTCATATTGTGGCTATCACACCGGTAGCCTGGTCGCTAGTTCATGTTGTAGCTATCACATCGGTAGCCTGCTCGCTAGTTCATATTGTAGCTATCACACCGATAGCATGGTCGCTAGTTCATATAGTGGTTCCAGCGAAAAGTGTATCGTCACTATTGTTCTTCTCGCTAAATCATATTGTGGTTAACCACACTTAACCAACAGTGAGTCATTGTCACACCACACATTACTCGCTAGTGCATATTGTGGTTCTATTGTACAACATTCCACGCTTTCAATGCCCACGTTATTTTGTTTGTTTTTTACAGTATTGGTGCTGTTGAACCAACCTACGTGAGCGTTTCCCTTGATATAATGTTGTATCGAATTCATCTCAGCATACCGTTCTCTTTTCAAGTATGTAATACAGTATCAATTAAAATACCTGTTCAATACCCGATCAATAGCAATAACAAAAACGGCGAAAGCAGATATAGATTTGTTCACGCAATTCAATACAGCCTATTTAAACAGAGAAGTTTGGTTTTTGCAACATTATCGGTCCGTGCACACAGTGTTAACGATTAGTGGACAATGGCTATGAAATAATCATTTCTACACTTCGCTTGTTGTTACTAAACTATGCAGAAGAAAATCAGTTGTATCAGTTCAACGCGCTACTGCTAAATTCATTTTCTTTTATGTTTATGTTTAAAAGAATAAAACAATACAGCTATATCTTTAAAATGATATATTCTATGATTGTGATGACAGTGATGAGTTATCTCGTTCATGCCAGTGATGGTCAGTTCTACGTGCTCGGTGACATGCGCAGAAACAATTCAGCTGCCGTAGAGAGATGCAAACAACTGGGGTACGACGGGCTGGCTGTTGTGGACACGAGTGACGTCACTGCAACAGCGCTCAGTCTTTTACCATCGCCACTGTAAGTCATCATTGTATTGTAGTTTCATGCGTAATATTTATATTAAAACGCTTTATTATTCGTAAATATACTATTTGTAAAATATGTAATGTTTGTTTATCTTCAGTGTTGAGGAGTACTGGGTGGGCATGTACTACTCCTTGAACAAAAAGAAGCACATATGGTATACAGGTACGTTTATAGCGATACTACAACAGAGCTATATTCTCTATGTGTTGAAGATATATTTTGGGTTGTTGTTTTTTTTTAATTAACCTGAATGTAAATTCTGCACTTTAATTTTATTGAATGTAAATTATGTTTTTTTAATTTAATATTTTTTCCCAATATTTTTTGTCAATACTTTTCGAATGTTTTTGTACTATAACATACATTGTGGATCTTACCTGAACACACCCATCTCTAGTGGGTACCTGATACAAGTTAAGAGTTTAAAAATGTAGTATATTGTGTGCAAAGTTTGCCTATGAGTCCACCCAGCTATGATAGGTACATGAATGACATTAGGAGAAGTAAAGGCTACTGGGCAAATACTTTTTGTTACACATGATAATATATATATATATATATATATATATATATATATATATATATATATATATATATATATATATATATATATATATATATATATACATATATATATATATATATATATTTATATATATATATATATATATATATATATATATATATATAGTATAATATATATATATATATATTATATATATATATATATATATATATATTATATATATATATTATATATATACTATACATACTATATATATATATATATATATATATATAT